ACAGCAAGCTTGTGCATCCTTCGCTCTTATGTTTTCGTCTCTGTTGCCGCAACTTTGCAAAGCCAAGGTCATCCCCAAGGTCCCTGCCATGTCTTTCTTTGGGCAGATCACGGAGGCCCTGACCCTTTGCAGCCAGCCACCGGTGCGGCCCGTCCGCACGGCGGCAGACCCACCGATGGAGCCCAAGGAAGCCCTCGGCCTTCTCAAGGCGCATCTCTTGCGGAAGCATCTTAAGCTTGATAGTATATAGTTCTAGCTTCAATCTACGTAGGCCGCTTATATAGCCTTCTAGCCTATGGTGCATGATGGGAAGAGTGCGCCTCCTGCGAGCCGCAGGACGGCAACCGGCGCTTCGTGGACGGGCGACCGCTGGCCAACCGCACAAACGCCGTGGTGCGCAAAGAGCTGGTGGAGCTTGGCCAGGCTCCCCACACGGCCATCATCGGCTGCGCCGACTCGCGCGCACCGCTGGAGACCATCTTTGACACGATGCCAGGCACGGTTGCTTCGGTCTTTCTGTTCAGAGTCTCTGCAGTCTCTTTTGTGTCGGGCGGGATTAGCCTGTGAGTGCTACTCCTATAGGTGACATCTTTGTGCTGCGCAACGCCGGCAACACCTGCACTCACGCGGAGGGGAGCATGATCGGCAGCCTCGAGTTCTGCACCGGCAAGTTGGGAAGCCGACTGGTGTTGGTCCTTGGCCACACAAAGTGCGGCGCCGTCTATGGTGCGACGAAGACCTTTCTGGATGCCCAGGGAGTTCCCAAGAAAGCTGGCTCCGCGCTCCAGGGGCTTCTGCAGGACCTTGGAGCGGTTGCCCAACAAGCCCAACAAGAAATGGGCCCCGATGCTGACGCGGATGCCATCGCGGCCCATGCCGTGAGGGTCAACGTGTTCCACACCATCAACTTTCTGCTCCAGTTCAGTGAGTCGATTCGTGAGGGCGTGAGCAGCGGCCAGATCCAGATCCATGGTGGCATCTATCACCTTGAGACAGGCAGTGTGGAGTTCTTGGGCGAGAGCCCTCAGCAGTCAGAGCTGCTCCAGTCCAGCCTGCCCATTCCACCTTCCATGGTGAGCGGCGAGGCTGACCGTGGCATGCATGGGGTGCGAACCGGTGCCGACGTGGCCGTCAAGTCCGAGCAAGCGCTGAAGCTGCTCATGGAGGGCAACCAGCGCTTCGCCGCAGGTGCACCCACGGCGGCGACCACGTCCAAGGACATGCGCCGGGCCTTGGTGAAGTGCGGCCAGGCCCCCCACAGTGCTATCGTAGGCTGCGCCGACTCGCGAGTCCCTGTGGACACAGTCTTCGATTCGATGCCTGGAGACCTCTTTGTGCTGCGCAATGCTGGCAACACCTGCACACATGCCGAGGGTAGCATCGTCGGCAGCCTGGAGTTCTGTACTGGCAAACTGGGTACTCAACTGGTCTTGGTGCTTGGGCACACACAGTGCGGTGCCGTGGCTGGAGCGACACAAACCTACCTGTCCGGTGCCACGTCCAAAGCACCAGGCAGTGCTCTCGAAGGCCTGTTGCAGGGGCTGGCCGGCGTCGCGCAGAAGGCCAGCGAGGACTTGGGTCCGAAGGCCGAGGAGGCGGCCGTTGTGGCCCACGCCGTGAAGGTGAACGTCTTCAACTCCGTGAACTTCCTCCTGAAGTTCTCTGAGCCTCTGCGAGAGCTGGTGCGCAAAGGAGACTTGGACATCCAAGGTGGCATCTACCACCTCGAGACGGGCCGGGTGGAGTTCCTGGGCCGTTCGCCTCAGCATGCAGAGCTCCTCTCCTCCACACGCTCCGTGCCGCCTTCCATCACCACCGGTGCTGTCCGCACCTCCAAGAGCGGCCCAGTGCTACCAGCGGATGCCATGGCCATGCTGCGAGACGGCAACGAGCGCTTCGCTGTGGGCGCCCCCGTGGCCGGCAAGGTGCACCAGAGCATGCGCGAGGCCCTGGCCACTGTTGGTCAGGCACCCCACACGGCAGTGGTGGGCTGCGCCGACTCGCGCGTGCCCCTTGAGACCGTCTTCGATGCCCTGCCTGGGGACCTCTTCGTCCTGCGCAACGCTGGAAACACCTGCACCCATGCAGAGGGCAGCCTGCTCGGCAGCTTGGAGTTCTGCACGGGCGCACTGAACACCCGGCTGATCTTTGTGCTAGGGCACACGAACTGCGGTGCGATCAAGGGTGCCACCAACGCGTTCCTGCAGTCCAAGAAGCAGGGTGGGGCGAAGGACCTGCAGGGTAAGTTGGAGGGCCTTGAAGAGGGGTGCGTTTACAGGGATGTTTTGGATTGTTGTGGGGCATCGGGTGCATGGTAAGACAGTTCACTGTGAGCGGCGACTGGTTGATTTTCGCTGGTGCGGTTTGCAAGGGCGGAAACGCTCTGGATGCGCTGCTCCTGGGCCTCAGCACCGTGGCTGAGACCGCCGCCGCCGAGCTGGGACGCAAGGCGGGGCACGGAGCGGGCTTTGCTGCAGCAAGGGAAGGTGCAAGCCACTAAGTCTTGCCAGTCTTGCTTTGCAATCTCCAGCCAACTGGAGGCCCTTATAAGTACGGCTGAGGCCAGCGAAGATGACATTGCCCGGCATGCCGTGAAGCTGAACGTATTCCACACCATCAACTTCATGCTGCAGCAGCTCGGCCTCAGAGCAGCAGTCGCACGCAGGGCATTCGCATGCAAGCATTGTGTGGCTTTGTGCAGCTAGAGGGCCGGACATGCTGAAAACATGAGCGCGCAGCCGAACTAGCCGCACTAACCGAGACTGCCAGCCGGAATAGCTCAGCCCAGCTCAGCCCAGCACAGCCGAGCCGTCCCGAGGCACAGCGAGCCCATCCGCCAGAAGGCCGTGAAGCCATCTACTCGTATCATGGTCTCCCTGTCGTGTTTGAGTCTTCGGGTCCACGGGAGGTGAAGACCGGCGACTTGGTGATTCAGGGTGGCGTCTACGACCTGGGAAGCGGCCGCGTGCAGCAGCCGGGACCGACTTGTGTAATGCACATGCATCTTTTTCGAACTCGCACAGATGACTATGCACTGGTCGTAGAAGATAGCGTGTGGGCCAAAGATTATATATGGGCTGAGTTTGGGAGTGGGGGGGGGGGGGTTGGGGAAGAAAGCTGCGCGGTGCTCCGCGTGGCTTGGCTTGTGAAGTGACTCGGTGAGGTTCCTGGGGGAGAGCCCGACGCAGTCCAAGCTGCTGAAGTCGCCCATGGCTGCCGCTCCTTCTCTGAAAGATAAGCTCCTGGGCGCTTGAGGCTCGCGGACAGGGCCCGTACGGGCGTTAGCCTTGCAATTTTTTGTTCGAGCTCCCACCTGCGGAGCTCTGAATCTCTAAAAAGTATTTAACGCTCAGCGCAGATTTTAAGTCTTCCTGCATCGATCGCGCATCTTCGCGCGTTCTTGCTCTGCATTGCGGCTCTCTGGAGCCGACGCGATGGCCAGGCGATGCCCTAAGCTCGGCGCTGCACAAGGCTGCACGCTGGCATACGCCGGCATCCTAATTCACACCCCGCTTGTACACCAGTTTTTCCATAGATTGCATAGAAATCTCGATCGGCGAAGCGCGCGAATCGCGCCAGAGGGCCCTGTGTGCACCCGTGGTGCCCTGGAGTCGAAACTTGAGTCTGGCAGCAACAGTGAAAGGAAGCTTTGTGATCTGCTGGCAAAGTCCATGTATACCGTTATACTACCAGCATTGGTGGCGATGTCTTGACGTAGATCGTGCCGCTGCACGCCGCCTCCCTCGAGCCTTTGCTTCCTCGCTCCTGTCCGCAGTCCAACCTCTCCAGTTGCTCAGCTGCATTCAGCTTTGCTTGGCCTTCGTTCACCATGTCAGGGGTCTGTTCACATCGTGCTACTTTACTCATCTTTGCTCGAATGATCAACATATTGGGGTCGATACGGTTTTCTTCTGGAAGGGAGAGAAGCGTCTCCGTTGCCTGCACAGGCAGATGATCATTCATACAGCAAGCTTGTGCATCCTTCGCTCTTATGTTTTCGTCTCTGTTGCCGCAACTCTGCAAAGCCAAGGTCATCCCCAAGGTCCCTGCCATGTCTTTCTTTGGGCAGATCACGGAGGCCCTGACCCTTTGCAGCCAGCCGCCGGTGCGGCCCGTCCGCACGGCGGCAGACCCACCGATGGAGCCCAAGGAAGCCCTCGGCCTTCTCAAGGCGCATCTCTTGCGGAAGCATCTTAAGCTTGATAGTATATAGTTCTAGCTTCAATCTACGTAGGCCGCTTATATAGCCTTCTAGCCTATGGTGCATGATGGGAAGAGTGCGCCTCCTGCGAGCCGCAGGACGGCAACCGGCGCTTTGTGGACGGGCGACCGCTGGCCAACCGCACAAACGCCGTGGTGCGCAAAGAGCTGGTGGAGCTTGGCCAGGCTCCCCACACGGCCATCATC